CAAAAGGACAATCTAGAAGGTAGTTAAGCTTAATTTGTAATCTCAAGTGTCTGTCTTGTATTTCCAAAAAGGGCTCCCAACCTACTAGGATCATGCACTACAACAGATTCTCCAAGTCACAAGAGAAGGGTCAGGGAGACTTTAGAGCCCTTCCAGTGCCTAAAGGGGCTACAAGAGCTGCAGAGGGACTTGGGACAAGGGATGGAGGGACAGGACACAAGGAATGGCTTCCCATGGCAGAGGGTAGGGATGGATTGGATACTGGAAAAAAATTGCTCCCTGTGAGGATGCTAAGGCACTGGAATGGATTTCCCAGAGCAGCTGTAGCTGCTCCATCCCTGGGAGTGTTCCAGCCCAGGTTGGATGGGGCTTGGGGCAACCTGGGCTGGTGGAAGGTGTCCCTGCCCATGGCAGGGGGTGAGACAAGATGAGCTTTAAGGTTCCTTCACAACCAAAACCATTCCATAATTCCATGATCTCAGCCTGGGCGGAGGCAGAGGGTCACTTCCCTCTTCACAGCTGTCCTTGCACTGGTCTCAGGAGGACACACCTCAGTGCTGATGACTCTGGAGTCCCCCAGGGCAAATATCCAGGACTCCCCTCTCACTCAGACTCTGCTAGCCTGAGCCACAAAAAAATAGCTCTCTGCATTCCCCTCGAATTCACATCTCTTTTCCACAGGAGCACATAAAGCTACCAGGAAACTCAGCCTCCTTTTGAGACCTTATTAGCATGTGTTTGAGAAAGCTGTTGGTTAATTGCCCAATTCAAACTTCAGAGAGTTGTAAGTAATGGAAGCCTAGAATGTTTAATTGGGAGCCTCATAGTATGATTATTTGTATAATATCAGTTAAGTGAGAAGAGTTTAATTTTTAATTATTTCAATTAATTTATTGCTGGGAGATTTACTTGGAGAATTTCAACCTTCTCTGTTTCATCAATTAAGAGGCAGAGATTCCAAGCCTGGCTACTGAGAGCTGAATGAATTAGAGGCATTATGTAATGCACAAGGCTTTTTTTTTTTTTTTTTTTTAACCATGACTGGAGTTCAGAGAGAGCACTGCAAGCCCAAAAACCTAACGAGCTGCCTCCGGATTGCAGGTTGGAGATGACCTAGTTTTGAATTGCCTCAATCCACAGGATTGATTACATCTTCCCCCTCTTCAGGAGAACTATTAAAGGACTTGTGAACATTTTGATACCATTGCTAAGTGCCCAAATCTCAGATAAATTGTGGCATGACAGACACATTCCCATTTTCCAAATGAACAGTCATATTCCCAAGTCTGTGATGGTGATTAATGATATTAAAGATCTTTAAAAACCTCAATTTTTCATAAGTAACCAAAACTTCACTTATTCATCTGCTTTAGTTTGTACACAAACCCTCACCAATGATTTTTTTAATGTACTTAAATATGTCCTGTGCAAACTCAATCTCGTTAGTCTAATTTACTCCACTAAATTAGCTGTTTTATATGCAATAAATGCAGTTTTCTCTCCACTCCCCACAATAATGAATTCTCCTATCCAAATTAAGAGGGAAACATCATGTTCTGTGCATTTAAACCTCCCCAAAAACATAGCAGTGAACTGTTTCATCAACAGTTACCATCATTGTTGCTTAGAATTTGTTCAGCATTACCTCTTGGATAGATCTGGAGAGGCTCTATCAACTGTCCATTTACTTGCTGTTCCATTACAGTGGAGTAATACTGCAAAGAGATTAAAGAAAGAGATGACTCAGTAACATATGAGTAGTAAAAGCACTTCTGGATTGTTTAAGTCAATGTATTTTGATTTATCTTTTAATTGCCATGGTACACATCAGCCTTTAAATAGTTTCTTACCATCTGCAATGTTCACACTGCAAGGGGCACAGAGGAATTTAACCAAGAAGGTGCCATACCCTGCAAGGGAATCTGTTACTGGCTCAAGTGTGGAAGTTTGAGGCACACCTGAAACCTGGGAATACTTCAAATGAACCATTTACAGCAAATACCACACCTGGAGCAGCCTGAAAAACCAAGCATGGAAACACAGAAGTGCTGTAAATATAATCCAAAACTCTGCAATTAGGAAAGCTGCAAGAAAATTCCAAAGGAATCCAGAAAGATGCCATGTGTGTTCCTCACTGTACATATTTCATGCACAGAAGGTGCTACCAGAAAGCCACTGCAGACATCCTAAGACCTTGGACACCTCAGGAAGTGCCAGGAGCGATCCAGCAGGAAGTTTAGTGGTAAAGAAAGGCTAAAAATGGGCAAAAGAGGATGGAAAAGGATCTGAGGACATGAAGACACAGGAAGACACTTCATCCTCTAAGAAGATGACAGGAGTGGAGCCCTGGAGCCAGGCTGGGAGAGCTGGGGGTGTCCAGGCAGACCCCA